GTTTGTACGAGTGTTGGCACCACACCATTATTTATTTATACATATTGATATGATTTATAGAGTTATTATTTGTGTTTTTTTATAATTAATTCTTAATTTTTTAAAAAAAAGATATCAAATTAATTTGGTATTTGGTATTGACGATACTGAACAAAATTTTAGGAATTTGGATACAAAATAAATTTTGGGATTGTGATTGGATTTAGTGCACTATTTGATATTCGGGATTTCAATATTTGGTATTGGAATATCGATACCGTACCGATTTCCACTTCTAGCTCCACCCATCACATCCCAAAGACCACTCACACACACTTTATTGATTAAATTTTGTGCATCCCCCTTACTCAGGGGCGGACCCAAGAGGCTTTGGGGGTGTCCCGGGTAGGGATGGCAATGGGTCGGGTTGGTTCGAGTTTTCCCAAACCCAAACCTATGGACTTATTCGTGAAAAAAAAAAACCGGGGTAAAACCCACTGGGTTTGGAAAACTCAAACCCAACCCGTTGGGTACCTGCGGGTTCATAGGTACCCATGGGTTTTTGTGTAAAAAATTTACAATAACAAGTTCCTATCAAAATAAAAGTCAAACATCAATTTCCTCATACAAATTATCCATACATAAAACACCAGTCTAGAAAATTCAAATAAATCACTATTACACTAAATTAAAGCACATAATTCTTTGTTTTTTGTTGATTTTTTGTTTGTGATAGAGCAGCAAACCAACAAACATGGTGTGTTCAACTTCAATTATTAATTTATCCTTCCCACTTCTTTTGGAAAAAAGGGAACAATACCTTGCTCGAAAGAAATAAAACATACCGTCATCTTTCTAGAAGAAGCAGGGAAGGATTGGAGGTCGTATCGGGAAGGAGAGGGGGTTTTGGAGGAGAGAGCAGAGTGGGACCTAGGGAGGCGGCAGGTGAGTCGTGAGTGTCGTGAGAGTTAGATTGGTGGAAATTAGAATTAGGGCGACGAAATAAGTGTGGGCGGGTACCCATGGGTTGTGTATCTCTAAACCCCAACCCAACCCGATGAATATGTAGCGGGATTAAATCCAAACTCGGCCCGGAACCCGTCAACACGTGTTGATCGAGCTAGGTCGGGTAGGGTACCCGTGGGTTCGGGTTTTGTTGCCATCCCTACTCCCGGGACACTCCTAAAATTTGGAAAAGTGATTATTCAACCCCCGGTGATAATTTACGTATGGACAAAAAAAATATATAATTGATAGTTTGGGAAACCCTGAAATTTGAAAAAACAATTATCCTACTCTCATTTGTAGTTTGCGTATGGGAATAAAGTGGTAGTTTGGGTGATTCAAATTCGGGACACTACTATTATTAATAAATATAATTTCCATTAGGCTACAATATTTTTTGGTTATATTCTAAACACTGTGTAATAGCAAAACACAATTCTCTATCTTTAATTATTTTCAAAACCTAACAATTAATCTAATTATAAACTATCCTTAATTTTTATTGATTTTATGGTTGTACGACAAGTGTCGGAAGTGTATTTTTAGTTTTGAGTTACATCAAGAACAAATTTAGAAGTCGAATATGCGTTAGTTCGAGAATGATTGTCTAGTAGGATATACCGAGACAAATTTGTTGAGCAGTGTATATACCAAGTGTATTTTATAATTTTTCAGAATATGAAAATACAACATGGATTTTTTTAACTTGTACGAGTTGGTTATTTTCTTATCTATAATTATTTAATTTTTATCTTTAGTTTACATTATTTTTTAAAAGAGTGGGTTTAACCACGAAAAAAATCCTGGTAAAATCCAATAAATTTGGAAAAATCAAATCCAACCCAACTCCCTGGGTATCTGCAGGTTAATGGGTACCCATGGGTTCATGTACAAAGATGCAATTATACTAGTTTTCACTACTATTGTCTACTACATACACACTAACTCATAAATTATTCATACTAATTGCTCAATATCAAAGATAAATATCCACAAATAATATAATTAATTGAACGTGTGAGAAATCAATTTGGAAATTATAGTTAATTTGTTAAGGGTTTTGTGGGTCATGTGGGTATGGACTTCAGTGCGGGTATTCGCGGGTTGGATATGGCTAATCCAAAATCCAACCTAACCAACAAAACGTATAGTAAGTTTAGACCCGGTCCACAATCCATCAAAGTACATTTTACCCGCATTTATCAGGTTATATCGAATAGGGTACCCACGGATTCGAGTTCTACGGTCTGTCATCCGTAAATGACAGCACTGAATAATTAGAGAACTAGAGAAACTAGCTAGTAGAGTTAGATTCTGTCTCTGTACTTGTAATTGTCTTTGAGAGTCGATGGGCACCAAAAGTATATAATTAAGATGGCGGCGGACGAGTTGTGACCAAGTTTTACAAGTAAGCTTGTGTCCCATGGAATGGATTGACCTTTATGATTCGGAGCTTACTACTAAAGTGGTGATAGTGGTAGTGAAGTGTTACATTTCAATTATAGGGTTAATAGGTGCATGAGGTGGGAAGAGTCACTTCGGGCAGAAACTTTTGACCATAAATAAAAGGAAGGAAAAATAATCGTTTTACAAGGAGTGGTTTCGGTCAGCAACATGATTGGTTATTGAGCATATATAGTTTTTTTCATTAATTAAATTTAACGCTATATCTCTTTGGGATTCAAATTTTGTTGTTATAGAAAAATTAGTTAATCCAGCTCTTCAAAATGATATTTTTATTAGGGGTCATTTGGATAGATTGTTTGAAGGTATTATTTGGGCTCAAATAACACATTTTTGTGTTATTTGGGTTGTGTTATTTGACCCAAATAACACAAAAAGTGTTATTTTTGTGTTATTGACCCCAAATAATATGTTTGGTTGGGAAAAAAAGGTTGTGGTATTTTCCAAATACTTGGAGGGGGTTAAGTATTGGGAAAAATCCAAAACTACCACTGTTTTAATAAAATTACAAAAGTACCACCAGACCCAACAAAATTCCAAAAGTACTACCATTAATCGAAAATTGCAGATCGAATGGGCGGTTCTCATTCAAACCGCATGGGGAACAAGAGGTTTCTCTTGGAACCGCATGATGAGGCTGCGGTTTCTTTTATTTGGGCCAAACGCCATATAATGAAGTGGTTTCCATGGTTGCCCTAGCACATACCGCATGCTCGGGGTGCGGTTCTGCATGAGCAACAGAAACCGCCCCTCAAGAGAACGGTTTATCATGTCGATGCACAAACCGCACCCTCTCCCCCCAGCGGTTTGTGCCTGGTCCCCATTCTCCCGACATCCGACATGCCGGCATGTAGGAGGTTGCAGGGGTGGGGGCTGCATGGCAGACTAAAACCGCTCCCTCCCCCTGCGGTTTTCAGTGTCAATTTTCTCCACTCCAACTCTTCTTTCCCCTCACGTACAACAAAAGGAGAAGCCTCCATTGGTGGCTCTTCATCCAAATCCCTACCCTTATTCTATTATTAGATAGAACCCGAAATACGGGTTTCTATCACAAGTGCTGGGGAGTGGGGTCCGAGGACCCTACTTGGCAGAAAAAATTAGGCAAAGAATCTATTAGGTATCTAGGTTTTAGCCGATCCTTCAAACTTATGACCCCATACTCTAACTAATGTACGCTATGCTTAAGGACCCCAATCAACTCAAACTCTATTGAAGACATAGATTTTATCATTACTGATTTATAAGGACCCGATTAACATAAAATCTGATTACGCCACTGCCCTGATACAAATCCAAATCCAGTCGCGGGACTCAATCAAGAGTGGAGCTTCCTTTGATTAAGGATTCGAGCTCGGAGTAGAAGATATTATGGCTACACTAAGTATTTGTCAAACGCATATATTCAAAGTTCAAACAATTCATATAATTAAAATACACAATATTCATTCAATGCATCGATCGATGTATACAATTCCAACCTCCAAACCACCGAAATAATAATGGGGTTGGGGGTTATTGGGCTCCCGAAGATGCAGGAGTGGAATGGGCGGTAGGGTTGTGTGTTTAGGGTAATGGTCCAAATGCCATCCGAATATAAAAATGGGAAGCATAGGTTGTCGCAGGCAGCCATAACTGGGTCAACTCGTGGATCACGACTCCCGTTGAGCGAGCGACTCACGAGAAATGAATGGAACAGAAGTAACTCCACTGCACTGCACACACGAGGAAACCATTATTCGCGACGCAAATCATATCATATCATATCATCAAAGGCTGGCTGCAAGCAAGGAAGGCAAGGAAGGAATTGCCTTTGGTAGGCGGCCCACTGGAAGATCCGATTAGTCAAATAACCCGATTAGGCTTTGCTTTGCTGCCTACCTGATCACTTATTCAGTGGGTCATTACTCTGATCATAATAACCATCCAGTGCACTTACAGAAAAGTCTATTCACATCATTAATTAGCAACTTATAAAATCCAAACACAAAAGAGGAAACGAAAGAGTAGATAACAACTCAAGGGATTGGCTTAGTGGTAATGTGGGGATGAGAACATCCACTACATTTTGAGTTCGAATCTTGAGGTCAACAACCAACAAAAAGAAAATATTAGTTAAGGATTGTTTAATATTTTCAATTATTCTAGTGAGACTGTTACCATGCTTACACTAATTACAATAAATTATTTTTATGCACACACGTTAATGTATTATTAGATATTTTTTCCTTGAAAGAAGGATATACAAATGACTTTCTTTTTAATTACTAAAACACCATTACAATTACCAAACTTTATAATTTTATAATATACTAAATCCATCTATAATGTATGATATAATACATCACAATACATGACGATAAATTATAAGATACTTGTATGCTCCAATTTTATTAAAATAATTTTTTTTTTTCTCTTCTTTCTAATAGAGAGGGATTAGTCACCAAGAGTACCTAATACATGAGATATATGGGAATGAGAGAAACTAATGAACCTTTAATAAAGTTAATCGACAAGGTGTTGGAGAGTGGTAGCCCGTTTGTGAATGAATATGTGTAGCCAAACACGAAGGCATAGCTAGAGAGGCGGGCAGAGCAGGAAGGCGCAGAGCAGAGCACACGTGGTGGCGGTGGGGACAAACCCAAAAGCACTTCTTTTCATGGTTACTGCCCACTTTCTCTTTTACAGAGGAGATTTACTATTACTATTTACTACTAGTGGACAGGTCAAATGGCACAACAACAATGGTGAAGAAAGGAGGATACAAAAATGAGAAGAACCTACTTACTAATAATAATGTATCCTTCCACAATCCCCTCGAATTTTCGCTTTGCCAAGAATCACAATATATAATTAATAACTACAACCTACACATGACCCACCCATTCCATTCCACAGACACCCTTAAATCATGAACCAATATTAAGAAACAAAAACGTTCCAACTTTTGTCCCAAAAGCCAAATAACTAAAAAAAAAAAAAACAGGGAGAAGAACTGAAGAAGGAATCATCAAGCAAGCAAAAGACCCGGCCCAAACTTTCTGCACAATTAACGCCTTTGCATATACCAACAGCAAGGGTTATAAGGCCTAAGGCCCGATGGGCTGCCTCCATCTCCCACTCCGCCCACATCGTCAAGAAGCCCACACTCACCAAATACCCATTAATCAGAGAGGGAAAAAAACAGAGAAAAAATAAGCGACTATTTAAGCAATGTGTATTCAGGTGACCATGTGCTCAATAAACCTCCCAACCAGCTGGACTCCCTTCCTTTCTTCAATCCCTTCACTCATTCCCCAGGTTCAGTGAACCATCCTTCATTAGCTTGATGCTTAAGCTGTTGAATCTCCCTCTCGAGTAATGTCGAGAAGCTTTCCTCCAGTCTGTCCCCGTCTTCATCATCGCTGCAAATTCATCGTAGCTGATTTTCCCGTCCTGTGTTGGGGAGTCAAGAAGTGTTCAGCAAAATTCTGCCCTAATTTTAAAAGGAGGGAGAAACGGCGAAATGGCCCCTTCCTTACCTTGTCAGTATCCACTTCTTGGAAGATGTCATTTGCTACGTCTGTACAATCATCTGCTCCATCTTCCATTAGAGCATCCCGGAGCTCCTCTGGTTCGATATAACCATTCCCGTCCTTGTCAAAGTAGGAGAAGGCCTTCCGCAGATGCTCGTCGTGTGCCATTCTTTGTAGGTGGAGGGAAACTGCTAGAAACTCGCTGTAGTCTAGCGTGCCTTTCCCATTTGTATCTACCTGTTTTCATCATTAAACAAGGACAAATCCATTAAACAAACCAACATATTACTTTCATTATTCAAGGAGAGCTACCTCCTCTCATTTAGAGTGAGAGCAGGGAAAGACACTAGAAATCCACAATATCAAACCCCTTTGATCTTCTCTGAGGAAAAGATGCAAAGCTTTTACAAAGTTTGCTATTCAGTGAAAAACATGACATGTATGCTAATGTACTCCAACTACTGACTCGACCACTATAACCGTTAAAATTAACTAGTGGAACACTTCCACCATCCAGTTTCGTTCTTAATTTGAGAATGTAACATCCATATTAAGCTAGAAACCTAAACTCTGAAAAGAATTTCTAGGCATATTGTGTCACATATGGCACTGATTGGATAAAGAGAGAGTATTTGTACTCACAGCCTCTATCAACAATTGAACTTCGGGTTCTGCAAGCTGGGATTGGTTACGAAGACCAACTTTTAGTTCTTCAATTGAGACAATACCATCATTATCAGTGTCCATCTTCTTGAACATTTCTTTAATGTCCTCAACCTCTTCAACAGATAAGAAGTCCGCAATCACCTAGCCACAAGTAGTGAAGTTATTATCTCCGTATGCAAAAGTGTAGAACATAATAAAGATTTTTCTAAGGAATCAAGGACCAACCCGTAAGGCTTTTCTCTTGAACCTGTTCATCATAGAAAACTGTTTAAGCCTTGATTTTACGACATCTCCGAGTGGAACATTTGGAGCTTTTTTAGCATTTTGCAGCCACGAATGCTCTGCAAATAGAGAGATACGTAACCATAAGGCAACTAAAACTGGCACTTGCAAGAAACAAGCATCATAAATATTATACTCAACACACCGAGAACTTGCTTTGCAGTCAACCGAAGTTTTGGGTCTGGCTCTAGCATTGCCTTAACCAGACTCTTAGCACTTTCTGAAATATTTGGCCAAGGATCCCTTTTGAAATCTATGATCCCGCGGAGGATGGCTTGTGCAACTCCTTGCTCAGACTCTGAAATTAGAGAAGTAGTTTGCCAAATTGAAGAGCAAGAAACAGATTTATGGTCAAAAGGGTGTTCCCTGGCTAATCCTTGGGTAGAAGGATCAACTTGGAGTTGAAATTTAGAGCAAGAAAGGAACAGTGGAAATGCTTACACATAAGCAACCTGAAGAGAGAAGACAGAAATAACAGTAATCGAAGAGAGAACAAGACTTACCAGCCCAAAATGGAGGAACTCCACACAACAATATGTAGAGGATAACCCCTGCGCTCCATATGTCAATTTCAGGCCCATAGTTCCGCTTAAGCACCTCTGGGGCCATGTAATATGGACTTCCAACAATTTCAGAGAATCTCTCACCTACAAAAGTTATAGGTTAGGCAGGTAACTGGTATTGAAAACCATAATCAATTGAATGACATGCTATTAACACCATGTATCCCATGCAAAAGGAGGTGTTATTGCAGCAGTACATGTCAAGAACTAACAGATATGCTCTTGATATGCAGCAAGAATATACTTGGACGAAAGTTCAAAGCAGATCAAGGTAGAGCAAAACTAAAAGATGGCTTCAGCAAAGCCTTTTGATGCATTGCTAGCTCAAAGGGCACCAAGTTTCTAGCAACTTGCTCCGCTATGTAACTTCCCAAGGAATTCAACAGCTTTTATCATTTCACGGTAGCCCCACAAGCATCTCCATCAGCAAATAAATGCTATACTTGTAACAGCAGAAAACCAAGGGAACGGAATAGGGAAAAGAATTATCTGCCCACAGATCGGCAACTTGGCCAATTCACGCGACATCCTTGGAGTCTGGAGTGTACTTTGCCATAGATAGGAGACAGCCATTGTACAAAGGAGAATAGAACTACTTATTCACACTGAATCTGAAGTCCTAGCAAGAACACACCAGCCTAACTTCAATCCCAAGTTTCAAATGAGCACGTGTCGACTTTGAGACTCGTAAGCTTTGCCTGTCCATCCAAGTTAAACATTGCAGTTTAATGCATCCAACCAATATACCTTATTGCAGAGACCACAGTATCCGGTATGTTGTGACGCCTCCATAAACTCCCCAATATCAAATATACAAGCACAAACAAGACGGATGACTCTGTAACTTGTCTAGTCGTTGTGTTGTATAACGTTTGAGTCCACCAATGTTTCAATGATTAACCCGATTCCCTCATTTATTCTAGAATCTAGACCATTCATGGGTTATTCCTTAGACACTCAACAGACACAACCGCAAACCTAATCCAGTCATCTAACCTCTAATCAACACGGCATTTGAGGTTTCCATGCTTAGCGAAGTTTGACTATGGAAAATCAGCCAGGCTTTCTTCTCCAAACAAGGGGGCAAACATTGTTCCTTTTGCCTAATAGGACAGTACATTTCAAAATTCCCTGTTTTAGCGACCTCACCCCGATATTACTATATCAAAAGACAAAATCATGCTCACCTGGCTTGAAGAAAATAGACAGACCAAAATCAATGGCCTTGAGAGGCGAATTCTCTTTCTTATTCGCGAACAAGAAATTCTCGGGCTTCAAGTCCCTGTGAATCACACCATGCTTGTGGCAGAGCTGCACAACCTCCACAATAGTCCTAGTGACAGCAGCAGCGGCCCGTTCCGTATAATGACCCCTGGCCACAATCCGATCAAAGAGCTCCCCGCCTTCGCACAGCTCCATCACCAAATGCACGGCATTGTCGTCCTCGCAAGCCTCTTTCAAGCTCACGATACTCGAATTCCGGGGCAAGTGCTTCATAATCGCCACTTCCCTCCGCACATCCTCGACATCCACCGCCGTCCTTAGCTTCCGCTTCGAAATGCTCTTGCAGGCCAGCAAGTCCCGGCTCTCCCTGTCGATACACAGGTAGGTAACCCCGAACTCGCCGCGGCCGAGCTCCCGATCGACCAGGTATCTCTCCTCGATATTCTCCTTCGCGACATCGGTGAGCACAGTAATCGGCGGTTTACTTTTGCCCGAGACCGCGTCCTTCTTGGCGTGATCATTGCCGGAGAAGCTCGACTTCACGTCCTCCCTGGCTACGGCCGCCGGAGATCTGCAGCAATTCCCCATCGACCGCCGAGACAACCGTCCGGATCTTCAAACCTTCGAAAGAGAAAGGAAACAAAAGCTAGATAAGAAAGGACCTCGCCCTCTAGCTAGGGTTTCGCCTTCACATTCTACAAGTGAAAGAAACCCCACCACCACGAAGCCCCAGTTCTAGAGATAGAGCGAGAGAGGTACACAACGGAAGGGAAGAGAGAGGAATTGAAAGGCGAAAAGGACGAAGAGAAGAGTGAGAGAGCTGTGAAATCAGTGAAGGAAGGAGTAAAAGAGTGGGTTAGGCTGGCTTTTTCTCTGGAGAGCTCAGTTTTCTCTTTTCCATAAATAAAACATTTTCTTTTCCTTATTTTTAGGCCTTTAAAATAATAAAATAAAATTGCTGTATTTTTGTTCCTTTTTGTTTCTTTATTTAATTTCAGAGAAGGGGGATTAAGATTCCAGTCGCCGGTTGAGGCGCAAGATTTTGGTCGGCAAATCGAGGTCGGAATATACGGGACGGCGGAGCTGGGGGTTTGAGCTAGCGTGGGAACGCAGAATTGGAGTTGGGACTTTGGGGTGGAGGAGAGAGAGAAACGGAAGGGCTTGTTTTGATTCGCCAAATTAAAAAAATTCCTATTTTTCAGTCTGTATTTTTTTAACGAACGCCTAGAATTAGTAACGAGACAGAAATGATAGGCTGCTGGCCAACTAGGGATGGCAATGGGTCGGGTTGGGTCGGGTTTTGCCAAACCCAAACCCAAACTCATGGGTTTGTCTTTGAAAAAAACTCGGGGTAAAACCCACTGGGTTTGAAAAACTCAAACCCAACCCAACCCGTTGGGTATCCGCGGGTTCATGGGTACGCACGGGTTTTGTCGTAAAAAATTTACAATTACAAGTTCTTATCAAAATTAAAGTCAAATATCAATCTCTCAATACAAATTATCCATATATAAAACACCATTCTAGAAAATTCAAGCAAATCACAAATTAACTATACAAATTGTTCAACAACAATATAGAAGAAAACTCAAAAAAATTGAAGCAAATCACATAAATAACATGTTTAATTGAAAGCTTCTTCCTCTCAATTAAGTTTCTTTACTCTCCACTCCATAACATCAACTTCATTCTACACAATTAAAAAGAAAAAATTAGACATGTCTCCACAAACATAAATAAGATTAGTTGTTTAGAATATTAAATATACCGAAAAAATTAATTATATGGGTGGGCGGGTACCCACGGGCCGGGTTTACCTAAATCCAAACCCAACCCGTTGAATAGTGAACGGGTTTAAACCCAAACCCGGCCCAAAACCCGTCAACACGGATTTTACCCGCATTGACCGGGTTGGGTCGGGTGGGTACCCGTGGGTTCAGGTTTTGTTGCCATCCCTATGGCCAACGTTATAAAATGGGTCTGCTTTTTTCCAATCGACCCCCTCATCTTCGGTCTATTTACAATTTTACATCCTCCTCCCTGCAAATAAGTTCCTCGGGAACTAAAATAGGAAAGCATGGTCTCATTTTGTATAAACTCTAATGTTTTGGCCAAGCCATATTTATTACCATAAACTTGCGTGATCATTAAAAAAAAAACAAGTAGAGATACACCGTGTCAATAGCATTACTAATACTTCTTTTTAAATAAAGACAAACATATGCACGAGTTCAGCGTGTGATCATCAAAAAAATTTACGTCTAGAAAGAATGAAACTTTATCGTATATTACCTATTTGAAGTAGGCCGTTACTTTTTCTTTAGAAAAAAAAATTAGAACATAACTTTTTCTTACCGATTCCAACTCCTTGGAGAGACATGTATACCACTTTATTATTTATGTGTGATTGTATGATACCTCAAGAATTTAGGGTCAGATATAATTTAATGTATGACTATGAGTGAGTTTTTGTCCACTTAATTCTTCAAAAAGATAGAAGTAAATTATTCTTGCTTTTTACATTGCTAATTAAATAGAATCTGATGAGCGGCTATAGTACATGAGCAAAAGTTGCGTAGAACACCAAAAGAGAAAATGAAGTGAAAAAGGATTAAGATGCTAGCTAGTAGTAGCTACTAGTGGTTTAATTTGTCGCCTACGATCGGAGACAAATTGGGAAACGAAGGGGTCCTCCTGCCTGCCGTCCCTCTCTCTACTTTGTGCTCTTTGCCAATTGCAATTAGTGTGCGGAAGAGAAAGGATTAAAGGACTTATTTAAGTGGGGTCTCAATTAGGCCTTATGTATGGATTCTCTCTTACTCATTTCTCTTCCTGCCTGCAGTTTACCATTTCAAGGTTTACGCCCGTCAGAAACCATTTTCCCACGACTAATTTAGACCCCTAAGAGTATTGGGTTTGATTAACGATTATAGTTATTAGTTAGTAGGTTTGAGGATTTTGTTTGAGGGAAGTGAAGGAAGAGTGAGACAGACTTTAACCTTAATGCCTGCCTTGCCTGGTGAAGGGAAGGGGACCATTCACTCCTCCTAATAAATGTTTAACAGGAAATATTAAACCCAAATTTAATATTAGGTTCGGGGGTGTTTCCATATGATCAAATGTGTTTATATTCGTTTATTCTCAGACAAAATTCACCACCAAAGATTTGTTGTTCGGCTTTTCTTGTCTTTTATTTTTGGCTTCATTACCTCATCATGTGCAGACGTTAACCCCCCAACAAAAAATTGTTAGTTTCTTTTACTGTTTTGTAGTCATGCATTTGATTTAATTGAAATTGTTAGTGTGATGCGAACACTAATTCTTATAAATACGTACATTTTTTATGTTTTAAAAATTTATTGTAAGGGTTGATCACAAATAAAACGGATTTATAATATTAGGAGTACACTTGTAGTTATGAAATTTGGGTGACATTCGCGTATGGTTATGTGCATTAGTTTCACCTCACCACTAGTGATTGATGGCAATTTGAACCCGTCCTACTGCTATTATCCGACCTAACTCGCGATGGGGTGGGTATTACTCGACTAGCAGTAGCGTGGGATAGGGCATGGATATCTACTTCAGACCAGTCCTGCCCCACCTCACCTCGTTTTTGGCCTATTCTATCTCAAATTCTTACCGTATCTATTCATATTTCTTGTATTTTGACTTTTCTTGAACTAGTTAGACTTGATCTTTCAACTAGTTAGACTCAACTATCTATTCTATTATCACTATTTTTCATTCATAAAGTGTTTTCCCTTTGTTTTATCGTAAAAAAAAAAAAATTTGCATGTATTTTTCCAAATAGCATGTAAGATTGGGTCGACCTGCCCCTACCTATACCCGCACAGGTATTACTCGCCCCGACTCACAATAACGTGGGACGGGGCATGGATATTGAGGTACCCCCACCTCGCCCCATTGCCATCACTACTCACTATAAGTATCATAAAGCATACCACTGACTCGTCCCGAATATCACAATAAAATCCCACATAAGACCCAAGTATAAACCATAGATGGGTGCAATATAGGGCAAGTATGTTTAAATATCAACCCGGGTCGGCCCATGTACCCCTACTTCCATTGTTTGCAACATTATCTAGTGGATTGGCTTCTGGTTGAAAACTATGAGGTTTAAATCGAAACAAAGCAAAGGTAAATGGTTTGAAAGCTCTAGATGAGAAGGATCACTCGGGTGTCGCTTCCCCCTAACTACTACCATGGCACGTGCACTCTAATGGAACATTATGGGCAAGGCAATCATGAACCACTAGGAGGAGCAATTATGGTCGAAGACCACACTCTCAATTGCCAAACCAGGGATACATTATAGGCTACTAGAGTAGCCCTCTTGGTTAAGGCAATTGAGGGTTGACTTACCTTCTCCCTCAAACGGATGGTTGGACGGCTTAATTAGGATTAACCTAGTTGATTAATTCACGATAGAGGTTTGCCCTACATTAACCTAGGCAGGTGGCATGAAAATCTCAAGGAATCCCAACTCAATTGAGCATCTTTTGGAAAGGGGGGGTTTCCCTCTAACCTAGGTTAGAATGGCAAATTAGATTGCTATGCACAATCATGATGAAAAATATCTCAATCATTAAATTAAACACACCCATAAACAATCATTCAATTCACACTACAACTACATGGCAAATAGTTAGGGTTTCACAACACCCAAGTGAAAAAGAGTACTACTCCATGCTAGAAAGGGGAAGAACACAAGAGAAAGAAGTAGAAACCATCATGGTGATGCCTCCAATCTCCTTTGAGCTTTTGTTGATCGTCTCTTGGGGAGATTCTTCCCAATTCACCACTTGGAGCAAACCCTAGCCTCCTTTCTTCGTTGGTTCGTTCTTACTCTCTCTAAAATCTGAAGAAGCAGCACTTTCTCACACTTGGGCTCCCCCCTCTCTCTTCCTTTCAGCTCACATTTTATACTGGGATCGGGCTCAGTTCACGGCCGTGAACTCTTCAACACGTCCGTGAACTTGGAGCGCTGTGTCGAAACGCACCGCTTCACTCACATGAGTTCCCTGTTTGCACTCAAAGTTCACAGTCTTGTTGACCGTGAACTCGCCTTGCATCAATAACTTCGGAATTTTCCCTGGACGCTTCATGGTTCACGGTTTATGGCTTCAGTTCACGGCCATAGGAGACCGTGAACTCCAATGGGAAACCGTGAACCTAGCCTGAATCACCCTCTTTGCCCGGTCTTTGCTCCTTTTCTTCCAACTTTCAACTCTGGGGCTGGTTTCACTTGTTAGATCCTGAAACACACTGAAACGCACAAAACCTAGCATAAAACCACCCTTTTAGGAGCACAATTGCTACAAACGCCTAAGGAAAACGGGGATAAAATGTGTGCAATTAGGCCCGAATCACTCCCCCACACTTAGACCTTTGCTTCTCCCCAAGCAAACCATTTCACGCAAGGTAATATCTCAACGTATCAAAATTCTATGGGGAAAATCAAAGGGCACATAGTGGCGAATTTCAAATGGCTATTGGCAATTAACACAAGTACCGTTGCAAGCAATACCGACATCCACCGCAAAAGACATTCGAGGCTACTAGAAGCGGGCAAATGAAAAGTTCTCACCTCGTTCATGAATCAATGCAAGTTTCAACAAGATCACTTACCAACCGCAACTAACCATGCATAGAGTTCAAGTCCAAGGAACAAACAGATGGGCAACAAAGGTCCTCACCGGGGGTATGATATGACATGCAAAACAAGAATGAATCACTCACTCTCTTGACCAGTGGGGTCGAGACCTTTTGGTGCAAAGAATGTGCACAATCATCAACACTCGACCATATCGTCTCAACACCATGGCGACAACCTCTAAATGCTAGAGTTCACCGAATGGTTGTCAACACTAGCTTGTTCGGAGG